CTTGAAAATCATAACATGGAACGTAAGAAGTTTATATCAATCAGGCAAACTAGATAATGCTGTGTCGGAAATGTGCAGAATGAAAATTAATATACTGGGCCTTAGCGATATACAATGGCCTGAATCAGGAAAATGTAAGACTAGAAATGGAACGATGTATTATTCTGGAAACAACGATTCCAAGCACAAACGGGGAGTTGGCATTATAGCTGATAAGAATTCCCAGAAAGCTGTCTGTAACTTTGTTCCCTACTCTGATCGAGTATTAATGTTGTCTTTAAACTCTCATTTAAAACGTAAAATAAATATAATCCTAGTATATGCACCCACTGCAGACAAGGATGAAGACACCATAGAGGCCTTCTATGAACAAATCGACAATGTCTTAATACTAACTAAAAGACAAGATATAAATATTATATTATGCGATTTGAACGCTAAAGTTGGCCAAGGAGAAGTGGAGAATTGCGTGGGGCGATATGGACTCGGGAAAAGGAATGAACGTGGCGATAGGCTTGTCGATTTCTGTGTCAATGAGGAACTTATAATTACAAATACCTTGTTCAAATTTCCTAAACGTAGACTATATACATGGAGGTCATCAGCTGACAATAACAACAAAATAGTCAGAAATCAAATAGAATAAATTATCGTCAACAGAAGATATAGAAATTCTATAATATCATCTAAAATTTATCCAGGAGCGGACATATCCTCCGACCACAACCCGGTTGTTTTGTCGATGAGAGTGAAACTAAAGAAGGTCAACAGCCCTAGCACCAAGAAAATCATAGATACAAGACGTCTCAAACAAGACAACACATATGTGGAAACCAAATTTAAAATAAACGAGAGCTTAAGGAAAGTCAAAGAAGATAATGCAGGAACTCTAACTATTGACCAAAAATGGGGAAAAATTCAACATGCCCTTGTATCAGTTGGACAAGAAACCCTCAAACCACTTAAAGGAAAAACAAAACCTTGGATGACAGTAGAAATTTCTGAACTCATGGAAGAACGAAGAAATCATAAAGCAAAAGACCTGAATAAATACAAAGAAATTCAGAGAAACATCAGAAAGAAAATTCGAGAGGCAAAAGAGAGGTGGCTCTCCGACAGATGTAAGGAAATAGAAGATTTGGATAAAAAGTACGATAGCTTTAATTTATACAAAAAAAAATCAAAGAAATGACAGGTTCTAGAAAGCGTACAAAAACGAATATCCATAAAAATGATAAAGGGGATATTATTACTGATATGAAGGAGAGATTATGTTACTGGACCAATTACATTTAACAACTATTTAATGATGAAAGAGAAGAACTGTCATTAGAAATCACCGAGGATACCGGACCACCATTGTTAAGAGAAGAAATCATGTATGCCATTAAAAACACAAAAGAGGGTAAAGCTACTGGACCAGATGAAGTGCCATCGAATTATTAAAACTCATCGATGAAGATGTTATTGATGCAATGGTTAAACTCTTTAATCTAATATATCATACTGCCACAATCCCCAGACAATGGCTGCAATCCACCTTTGTAGCAATTCCCAAAAAACCAAGTTCAACAACTTGCTCAGACCACAGAACAATAGTTTTAATAAGTCACACACTTAAAACATTTTTGAAAATAATTCACAGCAGAATTGTTAAAACTCTTGAATATGAGATTAGTGACACACAATTTTAGAAATGGTATGAGTACAAGAGATGCTTTGTTCGACTTGAATGTGCTGTTAAATGCTTTGAAAAAGCATTTAATAAAGTTCAACATAAAAAGCTTGTAGATATATTAAAAAGCAAAAATATTGACAGTCGTGATCTGAAAATTATATCTAATTTATATTGGAATCAAACTGCCAAGGTAAGAGTTGACAGCCAGTACACCGAAAATATCAAAATACAGAGAGGAGTCCGCCAGGGTTGCGTGCTGTTCCTACTACTTTTCAATGCCTACGGTGAAGCGGTATTTCAAGAAGCGCTCTCAGACTCAATAGAGGGTATATCTATCAATGGAGAAGTTTTGAATAACTTACGTTTTGCAGACGATACAGTAATAATTACGGATAACAACAATGATTTACAGAACGTAATGCAACGCCTTAATGAACGCTGTCATGAGTACGGACTGAAGATAAATTTAAAAAAAAACTAAATGCATGATCATGACTAAATCTGCACATGCAAATATCCAATTGACTATTGAAGATACTGCAATTGAGAGTGTTAATAACTATAAATACTTAGGAACATGGATAACATCAGATGTAGACCAAACCAAAGAAATTAAGACACGTATTGAAATAGCACGTACATAATTTATTAAACTTAAAAAGTTTCTTTGTTGTCGGGATATAAGGTTAGAACTACGCCTGAGAATGCTTCGATGTTACGTGTTCTCTACTCTTCTTTATGGTTTGGAAGCTTGGACACTAAAACAAGTTTATCTGAATAAGTTGGCCGCCTTTGAATTTTGGTGTTACAGAAGAATCTTACGAATATCATGGATTCAAAGAATGTCAAACATGGAAGTAACTAGAAGGATAGGAAATGAGGCGGAAATAATATTAACTAATAAAAGACGAAAACTTGAGTACTTGCGACATGTGATGAGAGGGCAAAAATACGCATTATTACAACTTTTTATGCAGGGCAAAATCCGAGAAAAGCGAAATGTGGGAAGACGAAGAATATCCTGGCTTAAGAACTTAAGGGAATGGTTTGAATGCAGTAGTGCAGAACTTTTTAGAGCGGCAGTCAACAGAGTCCGCATAGCCATGATGATTTCCAATCTTCGATAGAAGATGGAACTTAAAGAAGAAGAATAATAAAAGAACCTAATACAAAATTAACAAAGGATCTAACAAAGCCTTTGGAAAACAGAATATTTAGAACTTTATTCAAGTTTAAAGATTGTTTAACAAGTTATCAGAGAGAATTAATTACACCTCATTACAGTTAGACCCCTCATTTTTATCGAGTACCGAAAATTCATAAAACGAATATACCACTTAGACCCATTTGTAGTACCATGAATTCTCCTTGTAGTGAACTATCAAAATTTTTATTAAATATTTTAAAACCATTGGCAAATAAAAATTACACATTTATAAAAAATACACAACATGTTTTAAATAAATTATCAAATATTGAATTTAATTCAAATAATATTTGGTAAGTTTTGACATAAGTAGTTTATTTTACGAATGTGCCATTAGATAAGACTTTAAATATAGTCAAGACAAAATTAGAGAGTGATGATACATTGGCAGCTAGAACAAGATTAAACATATCAGCTATATTATAGTTATGAACAGTTTGTACTGGTAATACACATTTTCAACGAAATAATGAATTCAACAAAATTTTGGTTGAGCAATGGGTTCTAGTTTATCTCCATTATTAGCCGATATATTTATGAATGATTTTGAAACAAATATCATTTCTAAACAAAATTTAAAACCCACAGTATGGTGGAGATATGGAGATATGTATTCTCAATATGGCCTCATGGATCAGAATTGTTGGACACATTCCTAAATGACATAAACGATAAAGAAGAGACAATAACATTTACCATCGAAAAGGAATATAATAAAACACTACCTTTCCTGAATGTTTTAATTTTTAAGAACGATATTGGATACGAGACTCAGGTGTATACAAATCCAACACACACCAACAGATATTTAAATTTCAAATCAAATCACAATAATAATATTAAAAAGGGAATCTTTAAATCCTTATACGATAGAGTCAAAATTATTAAGCCAAGATAGTTTTATTAAAAAATGATTATTCTTTATCGTTTATAAATAAGGAATTTTTAACAATCAATCGAATAGAACAGAACAACTTAGAACGAGATCCTACAGCATACACAAGGAATAATACGAGGAAAATAACAATACTGTATATAAAAGGATTATCAGAAAAACTTAAGAATAGGAAATAAATTCAACATTTTAACACCATTCAAAACAACAAACACGTTGAGATATTTTTTGTCCAAAACCAAACCTAAATTGCATTTATAAAATACCTTGTGAATGCGATTAGTTTTATTTAGGTGAAACATCAAGGCCATTAAATGTTAGAATAAGTGAACATCAATCTTATATTAATAATAAAGAATTTGATAGATCTCAAATATGTACACGCATGGGATAATGAACATAGGGTACAATTGAATGATTCAAATGTAGTCCTAAAAGAAACGGATGGTAAAAAAAGAAAAATCAAAGAAGCGGCCCTAATTTTACTAAATGAAACCAATTGTGTCGCAAATTCCATTTTGTCGGCAGAATGTAATAGGATCTGGTTACCCATATTGAAAGAGGAAGTTATTAAAAAGAAAATACCGGTATTAGTAAGTCAGTAACATATAGACCATACATTATTTATGTTTTTTAAAAACAATATAAAAATCAGAATTTGGTATTTATTGAAGATAAACTAAATGCATGACCAAATACTCACCATGTCGGGATAGTATTATGAGGTTTTTTTCCTGACTTTTCCCTTATAATTTACTATGGAATCACTAACAGGAGAATTTTACTATCATCATGGCATGTGTTTTTCTTTTTAAAAACGAGTTACATGCTATGATTTTTTTCTGACGGATATTCTCAAGTTAAAGTTTATTTCATGTAATCGAATGAAAACTATTGAAACTAAGTAAGAAAAAACAAAATTTGTTTAATTTACTAATGTTTGTATTTTGAGAACGATTTCCGAAGTGGAAATTGAAACGCCAATAATCGTACTTAAACCTTTAATTGTGGCTCATTCCCATTTAAATAGTAATTAATTTAAAATTCTACAAAAAAATAGCTTCAGAACAACCCCATACTTAGGCATAATCAAAGAAAGTAAGAGATTTGGTACACCCTGTTTATAACGATACAAATTAGTTATATTACATTATTCTATTATAGAGTCGAAAAACGAAAAAAGTTAATAAAAAGAAAAAAGTGTCCCCAGTCTTACTTACTTGACGTAATGTTCTTAACACATACATTAAAATCACTCATTTTAAAACTAAACCAGATCAAATCTATTTGATCGACCCAACAAAAAGTAAATCGTTAACCTTGATTTTTGCAGTTTTATTGAATTTTGTAGAAACATTGTTATGTTAAACATGGTCTGTACTGTCCTTTTATCGATAATTGGTGTTTGACAACATTTTTAACGTTTAACCTTTCTGATTAAATTATACGGGGATGCAAAAAAAGTTTTTCAAATATATATCCATGATTTTTTGGTGAGTTGAAGAAATTAAAGTATAAATATAGGATGAATACGTGAAGATATAATACTCATATACTCGTAACCAGACTAAAATTCTAAACTGGTCATGCCTCCCTAAATAATAGTTTACATCAAAAGTCAGTAGAAAGTATTTGTAAAATGTAATAATAAAACACTGAAAACTTTGTTTTCAAACTTCCACAAAATTTATTTTAACTATTATCACTACGGCTGTTTCAGCTGATAGCCTTTCTCAAGTGATCTATTTTTGGTTTTTGTTTACAAATTTATAGTCTCTAATGAAATAGGTTGAGGAGAGGAGAACTGTTTGTCTCAAGTTGGTCATTCAGAATTATATCTGTGTTTTTTAATTTGTTGATTTCCATAGATTCTAACAAAGATAGCTTAAGGCCTTTATTTTGAATGTGAAGAATTTTAAATTTGTCATTAAAAGAATGATTATGATCTAGAAGGTGAAGTTCGTATGTCGAATCTGTATTTCTATTCTTGAACGCCCTTTTATGTTCTGCTATCTGTTCTGCTGAAAGTTTCTACCAGTTTGACCGATGTAAGTTTTTGGGCAGTCGCCATGCATGGTCGGTAACGGTCGAATCCATCAATTATTTAAAAGAAGTCAGTACAGGACTTTTGACCATATTGTTTTCAAGATTACATCTGAAACGTAGACTGGCGACACAAAACATCTGGTTTCTAAATATGTGTTTACAAAATAAAGTGTTCCCGAAATATATTCAGTTAAAAACCAAAAACCATAGCCCCGCTGCACAAAAAGGGATTCATCACGGTCAGACCAGATGGCTTAAACAAGACAGAAAATACCAATACAAGAAGCCAGATATTATAGCTGTTTATCTTAAGGTATGTCATTCAGAATTAAATTATAGATTAAATAATATAGAATTTGACATCCTAGATTCTAACGTGAGAATTAATATAGATAATATAATAGATAAAAAATTCAATACACAGTGTAAAAAACTAAATAATTCTTAAAAAATCAAAATATTGAAACTTTACACAAAGATCCGACAGAAAAATTTCAAAAACAAATTAAGCTAGCGTTAGAAAATTCAAAAGCAATACTAAATCCAATAGAACAGAAATACCTCAATATCATGAACCCACAGCCTCCTAAATTATACTCTTTTATTAAACTACACAAACCCGATCACCCAATAAGACCTGTAGTTTCTTTTTATACAGCTCCGTCATATAAACTTTCCAAAAAACTGTTAGAGATTATTTTAGAACACACTAAATTTTCACCTAAATTTACCATAAAAAATACAATAGAACTAGTTAATAAAATACAACATTTTCAATTACCTAACAACTCCAGATTAATTTCATTTGACGTAAAAAATCTTTTTCCTAGTATCCCTCCTACAGAAACTTTTATTCTAGTAAAAAACCTTTTAGACCAAAATAGTACAAATCCAATAATTACATCTGAAATCTTACATCTTCTTGAAGTTTGCATAAACCAGGACTACTTTGAATTTAATAATAAAATATATACAAATAACAGTGCAGGCTATAATGGGTAATCCTCTAAGCCCATTGGTATCAGATATTTTTATGGATCATCTAGAGACAAAGATTTCAAAACATCCCGTATTCAAACAGTTTTTATATTGGTGGAGATACGAGACGACGTACTGGTATGTTTCACAGGAACTAACAGGCAACTCGACCAATTTTTATCGTATATTAATTCACTTCATAGTCATATTGAATTTACAATAGAAACAGAACAAAATCAATGCATAAATTTTTTAGATTTAAAAATTAGCAGACTTCAAAACAAACATGACTTCTCCATATTTCACAAACCTACCCATACTGACACGACTATACACAATTCATCATCCCATCCAACACAACATAAACTGGCAGCTTATCATAGTATGTTACATAGATTAACAGAAATTCCGATGTCAAAAGACAACTTTGAGACAGAATTAAATATAATTAAGCAAATAGCAGTAAACAACGGATACAACGAACAAACAATTAATAAAATGTTAAATCAAAAACTACACAAGAAAGCCCTGAAATAGTATTTCCACCACCAGAGAAAAAACCCAGTACCTTCTGCTCGATTACATATACAGGCAAAATAACAACAAAAATTGCCAAACACATAAAAAAGAAAGGAATAACACCAGCTTTCCGAACAAATAACAACCTAGGTAAATATATTAAAAATAACAAGAGCCAAAATAAAAAACACTTAAATAGTGGTGTGTACAAACTTCAATGTGGCGACTGCCCAAAAACTTACATCGGTCAAACTGGTAGAAACTTTGATAAACGAATAGCAGAACATAAAAGGGCTTTCAAGAATAGAAAAACAGATTCGACATACGCACTTCACCTTCTAGATCATAATCATTCTTTTAATGACAAATTTAAAATTCTTCACATTCAAAATAAAGGCCTTAAGCTATCTTTGTTAGAATCTATGGAAATCAACAAATTAAAAAAACACAGATATAATTCTGAATGACCAACTTGAGACAAACAGTTCTTTCCTCCTCAACCTATCTTATTAGAGACTATAAATTTGTAAACCCAAGCCAAAAAGAAATCACTTGAAAAAGGCTATCAGCCGAAACAGCTGTAGTGATAATAGTTAAAATAAATTTTGTGGAAGTTTGAAAACAAAGTTTTCAGTGATTTATTGTTACATAAAATGAATTTCCATCAATTAACGGTCGAATCCATCAATTATTTGTAAAATACCTAAGTCAGTATCTGATATTTTAAATTACATTTTTTCTGCAGATTATCTTATTGTTCATATTTTGATAAAATCACGATTTTAAAAATAAGTGCTCAAACATTATTACCAAATAACTGATATTTTATATTAACACTAATTATTTGGAGAAAAACTGATAAACTTGTGCGCCTATAATGAAGTACGCATAAAGTATTACATATTTCGACCACAAGCCACAAATATAGCTTTTTTAACACAAAAATAATGTGACGTCACAATTTATTCAAGCTGGCGTCACTTGTATTTAAAATTCCAATAACACCAACCTTCAGGCACCGGTCCACTAGCAAGTTAACTTGGGACATTTCTTGCGAGGGAGACTCTCAGACTTATGTAGACACGTCTTGAGAGTTCATCCACAAGCGCAAGTCCTCTCGTAGTCGCTCTCATCAAGTAGCTGGCCAGTTATCTGTAAACACCTATACATCTAAATTTAGATGATGGATAAAAAATGTTGGTTGAAACAGGAAACCGTAGACTTTTCCGGAGCTCTGGGAAATAAAAAGTAAAGATAACCGCAATAGAATAAAAAACAAAATGCTTTAAAAAGTTTATTAGTGACATTTAAAACCAGTGAAAGTGAAATGTCTAGTAAAGTATACTCAAATTCCACTATTTGGAAGAGTGATTTCATAGTTTTAAACGCCGAATATCCTCAAATTTAAATGTACACAGCGGCCCTCGAAAGCTACCCGTTTTCTCAATTGCAATTTGCTTTTTCTCAAAAGAAATTACAGAATATAAAGTAGTATGTATATTTATTTGTGCTTCTCTATAAGTGCCTAGGAGTTGTCGTGCAGTGTAGCCAATTCGTGTTCACAAGTAGTAATTATGGCCGTACAAATGGTGGTCATCACCGTCATAAAAATTACCAAAAAAAAAATGAATTAATTTTTAATAGTAAATATTATTTATATGTTCGTTTTTTTACATATTAAATTGTAATAAAAATAAATTTTAAACTTTTATATGTTTGGCACCTTGGGCTTTAGCGACAGAATTTTGATCCACAGATAGCCGTCAAAACTCGTTTGACGGGAAATCCGATCAAGAAATTAACTCAACTATCGTTCATTTACATTGGCGTTTTGAGGGTAGTGCATGTGTTTCATTTTGTAAATATATTTGTGATAAGTTTGGTATTATTAATAATACGAGTGTTATAGTTTATCGTTTTATAGTAAGTTTTTAGTTATATTCTGTGATTATTTGGTTGGAGTTTTATTGGAGTTTTGGTTTATATAATGGACGAGAAACCGAGTTATTCCAAGAGGAGACAACAAAATGTTAACGTCCGAAGAGAAGGTAATGATACGAAACGTTTATGAAGGAATTGTCAGCAGAAAAATGGCATTAAATGTTAGCCAAGCGGTCAACATTTGTAGCAGTTTAACAAAAGTATCCATTAGCTGTATTTATCGTGTAATTACAAATACATCGGGAAATCAAAAACAAGAAAAAGGTAAAACTAGAGGCAGGAAAAGTATTCTTTTGGATGACGAGACAAGGAATATTATACGTCGAAAAATTCATTCATTTTATTTTCGGAGTGTAATTCCAACACTTAAAAAAATCTCAAGAGCTCGAAAACGATGACTCCTTACCCAAGATATCTCGTAGAGTCTTAAACAGGACCATGCGCGAAATGAACTTTCGATATGTAAAACGCAACAGAAAAAGTATGCTATTAGAAAAAAATGAAATTATTGTATGGAGAAGAAAATATTTAGAAGAAATACGCAAAATTCGCAGCACTGCGCGCAAAATATATCATTTGGATGAAATCTGGATTAACGAAGGTCATACAGTTGGAAAAGTTTTGGCAAGATTCAAATATCAAAAGTTATCACGAAGCATTTATAGAAGGCTGGTCTACAGGATTAAAAGCTCCATCAGAAAAGGGACGGCGTTTAATCATCACCCATATAGGAAGTGATGACAGGGTTCCTTGATGATGGTTTGCTTCAATTTGAGTCGAAAAAAACATGTGAATTATTATGAAGAAATGACTTCCGAAGTATTTGAGCGCTGTTTTAAAAGAATCTTACCAAAA